AAAATTCAAGACTGCCTTAAGGACTTAAAAACGTGGATGACCTTAAACTTTTTGATGTTAAACACGACCAAAACTGAAGTTATTGTACTTGGACCGAAGAATCTACGAAACAAATTATCTAAGGATATACTAACTATGGATGGCATTAATTTGGCCTCCAGTGAGACTGTAAGGAATCTTGGTGTTATATTTGATCAGGATTTATCCTTTAACGCCCACATAAAATCAATTTCAAGGACCGCCTACTTCCATCTACGTAACATTGCAAAAATCAGGCATATCTTGCCTCAAAACGATGCAGAGAAACTAGTCCATGCATTTGTTACTTCAAGGCTGGATTATTGTAACTCTTTATTATCAGGGTGTACCAAGAAGTCAGTCAAGTCGCTTCAGCTGATTCAAAATGCTGCGGCTCGTGTACTAACCAGAGTTAGGAAAAGGGACCACATTACTCCTGTTCTGGCTGCCTTACACTGGCTCCCTATAGAACACAGGATAGAATTTAAAATTCTTCTTCTCGCCTACAAAGCCCTTAATGGGCAGGCGCCATCTTACCTTAAAGAACTCATTATACCCTACTGTCCTACTAGGGCATTGCGTTCCAAGAATGCAGGGTTGTTGGTTGTTCCTAGAGTCTCTAAAAGTACAATGGGAGCCAGAGCCTTTTCTTATCAAGCTCCACATTTGTGGAATCAGCTTCCAGTTTGTGTTCGGGCGGCAGACACCCTATCCGTTTTTAAGAGTGCGCTTAAGACCTTTCTTTTTGATAAAGCTTATAGTTAGGGCTGATTAGATTCAGCCCCTAGTTTTGCTGATATAGGCTTAGTTTGTCGGGGGACATCTTACTTCTTCCTTCTCTCTGTCTATACCTGTGTACTCTCATGTTCCGATTAACCCAGCTTCCCCAAATGTCTTTCTTTTTGGTGTCTATATACGCCGGGATCCGGAGTCATGGATGATCCTGCGCTCCTCTGTCCTGGATCGCGAGCCCTGGATCTTGAGTCGTGGCTGTGGTCCTGGATCATAGGTCCTGGATGGATATCCTCGTGGATTCATCTTCCTATTATACACACATGCATTTCCAAACATTTGGACTACCTATGTTGCAAATGTATTATCTTTTCAATTTACACACGGCATCTATTGCACGTCTGTCCGTCCTGGGAGAGGGATCCCTCCTCTGTTGCTCTCCCTGAGGTTTCTCCCATTTTTCCCTTTAAACTGTGGGTTTTCTCCGGAAGTTTTTCCTTGTACGATGTGAGGGTCTAAGGACAGAGGGTGTCGTATTGTCATACTGATATTTTGTACAAACTGTAAAGTCCACTGAGACAAATGTAACATTTGTGATATTGGGCTATATAAATAAACATTGATTGATTGATTGTGGATGGAACACAACAAATGGTGCTCTTACCTGTGATGCCTCCTCCAAACATTATAACCAGACTATCATTCAAACTATAAGTAACAGTTCTAGCTACTTGACTTCAGACAAACAATTCAAAAGACAAAATCAACACAATTTATTGAAAAACCAATCTTTATTTTACGGTGCCTCTCCTTTTGTTTGTATTATTAAACCCTTTCAATCTAAAAAACTGATCAACTCAACAGTTAACTTTATATTTATTATTGTCCAAAGCATCTAATAATAATAATAATAATAATACATGGGACTTTTATATAGCTTTGCATGAAACTCAAAGACTATTACACAATTTTGTTCCCCTCTCATATTCACAGGATGGATGATTAGAGACTTTGGGGGAAACCTCAGCTTTATGAACGTCCTGTCTGTTGGTTTGGCCGGAGAGGGCTGAGGGTCTTTCCCTGCGAGGAGTCCTCCTCGCAGGGAAAGACCCTGCAGGCCTGAGGGAGGAGGACCAGGCCTGAGGGAGAAGGACCAGGCCTGATGGAGGAGGACCTGCACCAGCTGCACCTACAGAACTTAGCCCATGCTGGGCATAGCTGTTACCACCTGCACAGGCCTAGCCTGTCAATTAACAGATTAACATTTAGTGTAACTTATGTATATTATTTCGTTTTTATTTTTTAAAAAAAATGGTGATGGTTCATGCTTGATAACTTTTAGTTCACATTTCAATAAATTGTATTTGCAATCCTTTTGTCCGTTATTCTTACTGAAACTGTTAGATTACACATTCACATCTGACTGAAGATTGGTACCATTTATTTATGACGTTCCAAACTCCGCGGTACAAGGCACAAGTGATGTGAAGCTCATAAAGTGAGGCAAATGCATTTGATCAGCTGACTTTTTTTTTTTGCCAAACTTTATAGGCCTGACAATAATCACACTGTTTCTGAGGTGCAACGTAAAACACAAAACAACACACAAATGAAGTTCCTGTTGGACTGCAACAATATTCTCTGTTTCTTAATGTCCTGTACTGCTCTTAAATCTCATCACATCAGCTTCTCCTTTCCCTCTTGGATGTTCTTCTGGACCCTCAGAGAAAGAGAACATGGTGAAGCAGTCCTGTCTCTCAGGCGTGTCCTTTCCTAACAGAAATATCAAAAAACATATTATTGCAGAGCAAGTGTGTTATTTAAGAAAGAGGTGTGTTTGTTTCTTCAGGGGCTATAAATATAATGATTTTTATTTTTATTTGAATGTGTACTACAAAGATAATCAGGTTATGAATAAACCGTTCTAAATTCATCAACATTGAAATAAATGTATTATTAAAATAATATTTAACTGTTATCAAAACTTAGTGCAACTGTGGAAGCTTGCTCTGTTGTCTCACTGAAAGACAAAGGGTCGCAGCTCTCACTATGTGATGTTGCTTGGTAAAATGTAAATGTAACCTTTTGCTAATAAAGTCCACTCAACATCACTGATGTGTAGGTGATCTAGTATTCACTCAGTCATGTTTAATGGCATGTATATCAGTGTATTGGAGTCATTACTTTATGCATTCTTTGTAAAGCATGAAAAAGGTGTACCTTGGAATCCATGCTGAAGTTCTCTGCTGCTAGGACTCCAGATCTGTCTCTCCTCCTCTGGTCCAGGTCTGTCTCTCCTCCTCTGGTCCAGCCTGTCTGGATCACCTTAAGGACACTTTGAACAAACAGATGTAAAGTTACATGCATGGCTTACAGACTTCTTTACATGCAAACAACTTTGTATCTTCTTTTAAAAACAGGTCATAATCTTATTGTTATACTTAAGAAATGGCTGGATATCACAGTCCTTATACTGTATCAGTTTGATTGAGTATTATTGTGTAGGTCCTTTTTATTTTACTGTTACTTTGGATGAGGTTTTCATGAGTCAGTCAAATTAATTTGTTTTCATATGCCATATTCATATGTATCACACACGTAAGGGTAAGACAGAGACCTATTGAACAAATGCAATGCAATGGATAAGCTTAATTTCCACTGAAGTCACAGATAACGTTATATATCATATTTAAACAAATCATTTCCTTGTCACTAAAGCATTGACTACGCTATTCATCGTCCTTAAATGCAGGCATTAAGTTACATGTTCCGTTCTACAGCAACGATAAGGCTGTTTCTCAAGTGTGAGGATAATACAATTAAAAGAGGCATTGGTAATAATATTAAAAACAACAATGTTTGGGTCGTTCGTTGGATAGACGGTTAGCTGCAATAAATAACTCCAGTTCAACAAACCATATTACAATATCTAAGGGAGCGTTATTTCTGGACCATCTTGAAATGTGACGTTCATATTTTAAAGATACACACATTTCATTGTGAGGTTGATTTAATATACACTAAGCCTCTCTTCAACAATACGTTGACGTTAGCTAGTCTATGTTATGCTATAGTAGAGCATAGCGAATTTAAATGAACCTTAACAATGCATACAGTAACCTAAATAGCAAACTAACTATCTAACGTACAAGGATGACCTTATTTTAGCAACCTCGCACAGAAGCCTTTTGGTATACAGTAGCATCCGACTTAATGTTTTACACTCTTGGATGCTACGCATAGCATCGTTAGCACAGATGGAGCTACGATTGCTCAAATGCTACCCCAACTCTAAACATTCATTAACGTTAGCTTAATAAAAACACCAGTAACATAACATAAAGTACGCAGGGTTGACTTACCGAAGAAACTGCATTCATGGACGGTCTGTTTCAACCGCAGATAAATCCTATATTTGCATGACGAATAGTCCACCAGGAGCCAACACAACAAACACGTCCGAGTTCAAGTAGTGTTCTCCTCATGAGCTGAGCCGCTGTAGCATCACGGAGCTAACGGAGCTAGCAGAGAGGAGCTAGGAGCAGCAGTCCCGTTGTCATGAAGGGGGAATCTAACTATATACAGAATATGTTTTTGTAGATCCAGGCTAGAAACATGTTCATTTTTTAAGTTGGACATTTTAACAAAGGGTCTACGGGAATTGCTCCCATCTGCATCCATCGCCTACAGTTTGCAGCATTGGGCTTCACCGCACTGTCCCGGGGTTTGCCGCTTGGCTCTGATAGGCCAGAAGTCGGTTTGATTGCATTAGGGCTCGATTGCTTATCCTGTCTGAGTAGCCCGGATGAGGCTGCATCGCAATTTTTGACGTCGAATTTTACACACCGAATTTTTTTACATCGAATTTTAAACACCGAAATATTTGACGTCGAATTTTTTTCACTTGAATTTTTGGGATCTGAATTTGAACATTCAAATTGTTTTAACTTGAATTTTTACATTTTTATTTCACATAGATAAATTCGGAGCAAAACAAATTCAGATTCATGATTTTCAAAGTAATTATTTTCAATGCTATAAATTCGGTGTCTAATAAAATTCAAATACTTCTGTCTCTTGTTTGCTTCCATACCCGTGGTGTTTACTGCACTGCACTGTGCCGCTGCTCCCCATCCCTGAAGACTTGCATTAATTAAACAGGGAGCTCTCTGATTGGCCGGCTGAGTCTTCCTCTCCCCGGCTCAGCAGCTCATTGGTCGGCCGCTCTCTTGAATGAAGCGCCGCAGAAACGTGCAGACAGGAGGAAGCAGCCGCAGGGAGTGACCGAGGCACAGCAACACGACCGGCGGATGGGCTGCGGAGGTGGTCGGACACCGGTTATCTGTCGACCAGAGGCGGCTGGCTCTGTCCCGGAGCTCGGTGAGAGAGTGAATGAGGTTGATGCTGCTGTGCTGCACCTGGAAGGACGAACGCATGGGAGAGGAGGAAGGTAAGGACCCGAGAGAGGAGATGCATGCGGCGGGGCGGGAGATGCAGAGACAGCGAAACAAAACACAGGATGCTCCACCGAAAGTGGATATAAACATTATGTTGTCCACTATTTCTCTTACTTTTAATATCGTTTATTGTCAGTCACACACAGACAGCATTGTGTCTCCAGGCAGCTTCAGGCTGTATACCGAAACTGAAGCCCTGTTTCCTCGGAGTTGATGCATCCTTCATGTTTGGATGTAGTGTGCACCCTCAGGCCATGCACACTCAAGGATAGCCACAAATGTTCTGCTCGTAAACAGGTTGTTACGTGTATACATTAAAATGAGGAATCTACGGGGTGCTTATTTCAAAATGACAGGCAAGGTGTAACTTTGGATATTGCATCCAAAGATCCTAAATAAAAAACAAACGTATTATTTGATATGTAGCTGCACATATACTGATAGCCTTAAGATGAATGTTTGCCCACCTCTCTATCTATCTCCTGTTGTAAATGGTATTGGAGAAATATTCAGTGTCAGTATGATAACATCCTTTACCTCAGTTTTTTTTTTAAAGAACACAACTGAAGTCCTCTTGAAATGGAGGTTTTATGAGATGATTAACTAAAGAGGGAACAATTAAATCAATAAAGTCCTGCTACAAAAAGTATACGTTTTTTAAATGTAAATCTAACCTTTGCTCTTTTTCTTATACATTACTTTATTTAACCTTTTCTGCTATTCAAACAAGAACAAAATGTTGTTTGGTTGAACTTTGGAATGACGCAGGAAGTAGGAGTATTTCTTTTTATTGCATTTTGTAAAACATTGCTCTACAATAAGATTAGGTATTATGTGTGCATCAATGTAAATATTTGCTGAATTCAGGCTTTAATATGTGACATTGCTGCACATTTTGAAGCACACTAACAAGTTCACAGACCTGACAATAGAGCTTTTATGTGATGATTCACTTGGCATGAGGAACTGTGTGAGTAATGAATAAGTCGGGACAACCGGTGCTGCTGCACAGGTTACTGTCAGTGTGTGAGATGTGTTTGTGTACCTATACTGAGGCCTTTGCAGACTGCAGATGACAGGAGGACACATTTATCACAGAGAAAGGAGCTCCATAATGAAGAGATGAGATAAAAAGATATCAATTGGTAAAGAGGTGAGGTGAAGGGAGAGGAGAGAAAAGGCATTAGCGCAAATCAGACTGCCTTTCGAGTCGATATGATCAATAAAGCTGCATGGAGGCTCAAGCATTAAACTAACAAGCTAAACGCACCAAACCTCTGACGGCACAGTTTTCAAATTCAAGAGATGGACGAATAATATAAGCTGCAACCTTACTCGTGATTCTACATTAATACACTGATATATTTCTATATTCTATGTTATATTATATTGAATCTATGAAGGAAGCAGATGTCTCTGAACTGATCTGTGGCCCACCATTTAATTTGTATAAATCTGTTTTGCATTTGACAGATGGCAAGCAGCTACATTTTGCTGTGGGTGTGCAGAAGAACTTCATCACACGTATTTTAGTTTTAGCTGCCTCTACAATATGCCACCAAAAGCACCCAATAATGCAGTTAATGTTGTCAATACAATGTTGTAGTTTTCCTACATTGGAATTTGTTGGAAGTAATGTAGATGATTCCCACATTTGTTCAGAACAAGTCTCATGTTCAAAGTTTCAAGCTGTTAATAACATGTATTATACATATTGTAATTGTGACTTATTCTAAGTCGCTTTGGACAAAAGCATCAGCTCTCTGCTATGTAATGTAACAGGATGTATCTGTCTTGATTTCGATTTAGCAACAATTTAATTTATTAACAATTAGCCAAAAATTCATTTTATTCATCAAGTAAAGTACAATAGTGTAACAAAGGAAGAGCTCTTTAGATATTATTCTTAAATTCTTCTTCTTAAACAAAAGGTTATGAATGAAAAAGAAATAAATCGCCTGCTGACTGACACTATGACTGTCTGTCCGACATCTGTGGACGGGGAGAGAGAAATTAAGTTTGTTAGATATCTGGAGCCTCAGTGAGGATTTGCATTGAAGTCCAGATTTGATAAGCACAGCGATAACAGCCCCATGTAAACACACTACAGCATTTTTTACATCCCATCAAAGAACTGTTGTTGGTTCTATGCATAATGAAGTAATTACTGCTGGGTATCTGTTCGTGCTGTGACCCGCGTGTCTTTGTTTCAGCTGGAGGAAGTTTGCCCATCTGCACGGGATGCAAACAGAGGATCTACGATGAGCAGTACCTGCAGGCGCTCAGCTCCAACTGGCACACCGTCTGCTTCAGGTACAAACTCTCCACCCTCCAACACGCAACACAGCAGCTTGATCTCCTCATCTCTCTTTCTCTCACCTTTCTACTGTCCTATACAGGCAGGACAATGAACATAAGAGTAAAATAGAAAAGTATTCAAAAAGATAATAAACTAAATTTGATAAATAATGACATTTGAGTAGTTTGGTTGGTGTTAAGCTGAAATAATTATGGATTGATTTTCACAAGATTAATAAGCTATTTTCAAAATGTTAAAGCTGTTATAGAGCTGGGTTCAGCCTCTCAAATATGAGCAGCATATTAACAGCAAATGGCGTTTGGTTTTGAGTTGGTTGTTGGTTAAAATTCATTTTCAAAACTATTTTCAGGCAATTAGTTCATCAATCAAGCTAATAGTCAGCCAAAGGATCAATAAAGCAAATTGTCGTATTTTCTTCAATCTGGCCTTTGCTTGATCCAACCCTTTGATTCTTCTGCATGTCATCAGGCACATCTGCATATATGTGTGCTGTTGGCAAGTTTTTGTTGTGCATTTATTCTCATATTCACACCGTTTAAACCTCCTTCTTCAGTCGACCTTCACCTGTACTGGTAGCAGGAACATAATGCTCTGCCACCTTCTTGTATTCTATTGTGAGAACATCTAATTGAATAGCCTCTGTTCTTCTTTCTCAAGAGTCTTTCCCTTTTTGTGGTCAGTATTTTCAGGAGATTTCATGATTTTTCTCTTTTCGCTGTCCTTGTCTTTGAGTTGCACCCGGGTTCAGAACCATTGTTTTTCAGACCACTATTGTATCAGGCAAATGATAGGTTGTAAACTTGAAGCATTATCTACTCCTGTGACTCACCTTTATTACTTGTAATCATCAAACACCAGAAACATCACAGTGGGTTGTAAACTGCTCACAGTAACTCCCCTTCAGTATCATATATATTGTGTATTATACTCTCCTGATGTTATAATGCATATATATTTATATATTTTATTGCTCAGCTCATGTAAAACATTTGAGTTTGTTTTACTGTGTATTTGATCAGTGAACCATCGTGTTGGCTAGATATTATTCTAATCTGTTTGCAGCCATCTTCAGAATTGCCCAAGCAGAATCTCCTCTTAGAGACAATTAGAAATCTGTAATATGACTAATATAATATCTGTTGCTATGACGTCCTCAGCAGCCATAGATGCTCATTTAGACATCATTATTGAGCTTTTCTCATACATCAGGCTGGAAACCTGTGTATTGTTTAATGTTTTATAAAATGTAAAGATACCTAATACCACGAGACACTCACCATCGCTTCCTCCTAATCAACAGATATAGCTTCTGTTGTGAGACCTGTATCTGCTGCTATAATTAACATTTCCACAGCAGGAGTGTGTTTGGTTTTACTTTCCGACGGTTTTGTTTGGGGGAGAAGGAGGTTAGAGTTTCAGTCTCTGGCAGGTTTCTCTCAACATGAGGTGCAACGATTAGAACTACACTATGACTAACTATTCATTAACGCCTATTTGCAGAGTGGCTGTGAATAAGAAGACTGTTTGTAAAATGTCTTTATGTTTCCTCTCTGCTGGGTTTTGGATCTTGTCCTGCGGCACGTTGAGCGTGTGGGCAGTGAGACTCCATGTGTCTCTTTGTGTGAAATAAATATACTCGCATTGTTTGGATTTTAAGCACAATGTTGATTTTTGATATTTAGTACAAATCTAGTCTGTTGAACTGATCTGATTTTAGAAAACGAAAACATTTTGCTGATTGAAATGCTAGGGACCATAAAGTGCATATCATATATTATTTAGTTTGTGTACACTGCTATTAAACAACTCCTGCCTTTCAAGAATACATTTTTGTGGCAAAATATTCTCACAACAAGGTCCATTAAATAGCTGTTTTGCAGCTTTACACAGTATTACACAGTGAACAAAGGAGGGGAGAGAAACTCCTTCTGGCATGAACTGTGAGATTGTAGGACTTTGCAGACCATTTACATGCACACAAACTTACAGTATGACACACTACAGGAAAAGGAAAACCCCAAAAACCAAATGAAAAAAAAATGTAGTGTCTGTCACTAAATCTTCACATCAATAGTCACTCTGGGGTCATATAACACATGAATATAAAGAGATCCACAGATGGTGGAGACAAACAGATCGATTCTTTCAGCAACCTGAGGCTGCAGCTGTTTCTGACATTTTAGATTCTTATACTTTTATTTCAATGCAAAAAAAAGTGATCTGATGAGATTCCTCTTACTAAAACTTTTTTTATCATGTTGCCTACAGAGCAACATAAATTCCATTTTATTTAACAATAAAGAAATGTTTTTTTATTTTGCTTGCTTCACAACATTCAGAAATACTTGTGGTCCATATTTGTACCTAAAAATATGAATCTGTGATTTAAGCTGCAATCTGTTATATTTGACATGCTATGCACAAATAGATTAATGTTTGGGGAGGACCCTTCAGTGCCTGTCTTCCAAACCAAAAATGTCTCGCCTTAACCTGGCGCCTACATTACCCAAAATGCAACTCGACCACACACTGTTCGCTCTGGGTTTTGGCTGTGTTATGCTAGCAGCTTCTGATGTAGCCTTCAGCTGCTAGCACAAAGCAAAGAGGACTAATGCCGTCTTTCTGACTTTTTATTTTCAGCAGATTTTATTGTCATTTTCAAACTTGTAGTCTTTTTCAAATGAACACTGAATTAGGTGAAATCGATGTGTCATTACAATTTAGGTACATTTAGTATGAGGGGACTTTGCAGCTCTGCAGCGTCACAATATTTAATTTAGAAGGGGTGTTGCTACATGAGTTTTGGAAATGACTATTTTGATCAGATTTTAAGTTAGTAAGCTAAAAGGAAGTACATTTTGCAACTCAAATGTTTAGGAAGTCTGCAGTGGCATCATGGCATTTTATTTTATTTCATTTTGACAAATCAATGTTCTGTTTCTTGTTACACTTCCTTGAGGTGCTCCTGCTTCCGCTCTGTGAATCTGAGCTGCTCGGCAGGTTGTGGAAATCTCACCGCTCAGTGTGTCATTAATGATTTCCCCCGACCGGATGTCTGAATGGGAAATCTGAGGAGGCTGCTCTCAGGGCTGTGTGTGTGTGTGTGTGTGTGTGTGTGTGTGTGTGTGTGTGTGTGTGTGTGTGTGTGTGTGTGTGTGTGTGTGTGTGTGTGTGTGTGTGTGTGTGTGTGTGTGTGTGTGTGTGTGTGTGTGTGTGTGTGAGAGAGAGATGTGAGGGTACAGATAGGGAGTTGCATCTGTGTGTTCAACTTATTCTGAGTCAACTTATTTGTGTGTTTACACCTTTTAGATTTTTTGCACGTTCATACACTTTGAAGGAAAATGAAAGCTATACTTTGCATTTCTTTTTCCTATTTATTGTACTGACTCCATCGCACTCTTTGAGGTGTCAGCTTTAAGCACATCTCCAAGTAGTGACACCGAATTTCACTAATACTGTTGTATGTTAATTAAAAGGAGTGAAGCCATGTGAGCAGCTAAGTCTGTAAAAAAAGAGACTTATAGTCTGCTTGAAAGTGGTGCATCCTCCTTGAAATCTTCCTGGTTTCTTGTAGGGCTGCTCCACTATGGCAAAAATCCTAATCTCGATTATTTGGGTCAATAATTGTAATTGCGATTACAATTATATAGTGCACAACCTGAACACTCCTTAACATATAGCCAACATTTTGGTAAAACATATTCAACATATTCCACTCAGTTAAACATTAAAGGCCGGCCCACCGTCATGGTCCAGAAGTAACAGGAAATAAATGTTGAACTACAATTTAAGACCAAATAAAAATGTTTTGGCCACCATGGCAAATGCTGGTAGGGCTGCTCATTTCATCTCTTAAAGATTTTTTGCTAGAAACACCAGCCTGTTTACATGGTCTGGTTTCAGAGATGAGCGCAGGCAGGTGACAATATTGGCACCTGTACTGAAGACTAGGGCTGCTCGATTATTATGGCAAACGATTATGGCATTATTTGGGGCAATAATTGATATCACGATTATTAAAAACGATATCCATTTACTTTGAAAACATCAATTTATTGGAGAGAAAAAAAATTGAACAGTATGTTTTTAACAGTTGATTACCCTGAACTTTAAGTATAATTCAACTGAAAAACCCAACAACAAAAAATAATAAAGAAATAATCGTTTTATTTCGATTACGTTGTTTTCGTAATCGTTGCAAGCCATAATCGTAATCGCGATTAAAATACGATTAATTGAGCAGCCCTGGTTTCTTGTTGCGTCCCTCACCATGTCTATATTTCAGGGAATCTTTTTCTGACCCAGTTCCACATCCTCAGGGAGGAGCCGTATTGTCATAGAGGAGGATTTAAGACGGCTCCGCTAGTCAGACAAGACTTCCGTGGAAAATTGAGCAGGGGGACTGGGGGAACGTAGCTTAAACCCAAACAAAACGTGTCCAACTGAGCCCGGTGCTGCCATGGAGCATTACTCCAGTGAAAAGGAAGTGGAGATAATAAGAGAGGAGGGGAATGCAAAATGAAAGTGCTCAGAGTGTAGTCTGAAGTATGTAGGGTCCTGTGGGTAGAGAGAAAAAAACAGCAGCATACAAACGGAAGCCTTCATGGGAAAAAAACGTCACCATGTCTGACTTCTGTTTTTCTCTAAGCTCAACTGTACACGAGGGTTGCGAGATATGGCCAACATTTGTTATCCTGTTCATAGTTCAACATCCATATATTTATATCACAATATAGCATGGTTTTGCAATAAGCAAATAAATGGTTTGTATAAAATAACCAACTGCTAAAGCCGAATTAATACTTTGTACTTAGTAAGGACGAGTCAAGTCATACTTTTGTATTAAACCTGGTTTGTGATATTTCGTTTTAAATTAAACATGTTTTAATAATTTGTTAATGAACTAATTCTGTAAGGCCGTGTGGTCTCAAGAGCTCTCTTCAAAAAGCTGCTGCTTGAATTTTTTTTTCTTCACTGTGGATTTGAGGGGATT